CCAGATTATAAAGGGTTTTGTGGATCATGGTAAGAAATACTGGATTTTATTCCAAGTGTAGGGGAAAGCCACTGGAGAGTTTTAAGCTGGGCAGTGCTCAGATTTATAGATTTACTTTTTTAGTTTGTTTTTTTAACTGCTCAATCTGACGCTGTGAGAATGAATTGCAAAGAGAAAAGAAAGAAAGCCGAGGGACATGTTAGGAAGTTATAGCAATAGTCCAAATGAGAGCTCTAGCAGCTTTGACTGAGTGATAGCAGTGAAAAGTGGCAAGAAACAACTGGATTCAGGATGTATTTCAGAGGTAGAGTTATTAGGATTTATAGATTAGATGAGGGATGTGGGGTATAGAAGGAGGAATAAAGAATTACTCTAGGTATCTGGTCTGAATGAATGAGTAAATGGTGCCCCTTACTGAGTAGGTAAGACCTTGGAAGAAAACAAGTTTGGGCGAAGTAGGGGAGAGGAAATTTACTATTCTTTCTGATTATAGTATTTTTTTTTTTAAATTTTATTTTTAAGTAATCTCTATGCCCAAAATGGGGCTTGAACTCAACGGAGCCAGCCAGGCACCCCTGATTATTTCACATGTCTACTATAAATAGCAAAAAAAAAAAAAAAAAATGCTGAATATTATAGCCCTAGATATATAATTTTGTAAGTCAGCAGCATAAGGATGGTATTTGAAGCTATGGGACTGAATAAGATCACCTAGGAAAAGAACATAGGGTAGACACAGACAGAGGATATATTTCCAGGGGGTAGGAGGACTCCAGTGCTTAAGAGACCCAGGGGAGAAGCAGCCAATAACTGAAGGCTTGCCAGTGAAACAGGAGAAAACCTAGTTGGATACAAAGTCAGAAGAGCAAAGAGGCTCAAGGGAGAGATGAAATGTGACCTGCCATGCAACCTAGACAGCAAGACCTTCCCTTGACCAACTTCTTTAAAAACAACCCCAGCATTTCTGATTCCCCTCCCGTTTCTATTTTTCTTCTTAATACTTAACACTTTAATATTCTATATACTTCTCATATTTTGCTGTCTGTCTCTGTGCACTTGAACGTAAGTTCTACATGGGAAGGGATTTTTATCTGTTTACTGATGAGAACAGTGCATGGCACATACTAGGCATTCCATTATTTTTAAACGAATGAAATAGCACTGATAAGTCAAACAGGATGAGGAAGGAAATTGGCCACTGACTCTTACAAGATGTAGGTCAAAGGTGACCTAGGTAAGTGTTATTTCAGTGGAGCTTGGGACTGAAAACTGAATCAAGAGCACTGAGGATGGTTCAGAGTTTTATTGTACTGATAAAATGGGGCGACAGCCTAAAAAGACAGTGAAGTTAAAGGGCTTTTCCCCAGGCATTTCATTATAAAATTTTCAAACACATAAGAAAGTTGAAAATTTCATAGTAAACACCCATATATTTACCACTAAATTCTACAATTAACATTGTACTATACTTTCTTTTCATATAACTATCCATCCTCTATGTCATAAGAGTGTTAATAAGGCATGTATTATTGCTAATGAAAATTATCCAGTAAGGGAGGAAGATACAATCCAAAAGAGAATGATAATCACAGAAGCAAAGAACTGAGGAGGGAGCAGGATGTAAATCACAAGTGGAGAGGATAGCCTTAGACTCAGGCACACTTATGGAACTTCCCTGCTAAATAGTCCCTGCTTCAAAGTCTATTTTTTCCATAAAGTTAAATATTATCACCCTGGCAAGTACTTACCCTAGAATTCCAACATTATACACCGCTGCTCCCCTACACATGCACTACATTCTTGACAATTTGGGCTATTAACTGTCCCACAAATAGACTCACAAATCTCTAGAAAAATATTCTTTACTCTTTGGGCCAGCTCAAATGGTAAGTCCTCTAGAAAACCTTTCCTTATCTTTACCTCTTCCTGTCCATACCTCCCTAAATCAGATCTAGAATTTTCCTTGCTTAAAGTTCCATAAACAGTGTCATCGAGACTTCTATTTCAATAAGTGTGCCATTTTCTTATACTCCCAATGCCTCGGGAGCAGAAGCTGTCTTATTATACATATCTTCTTCTGCTTCTAATACTATATATACACACAAAAACTATTTGCTAAATTTGAGTGGAAAACATCAAGGTTAAGATTAAAGATGAAATTTTCCCACTACCTACAAAGAAACCAACATTAGATTTACTAAAAACAAACGAGAACATGTCAAATTTTGACAGGTGGTAGCAATAAGAAATTATTACAAAAAGAATGACAACTAGCTAAATTGAAGTTTAAGAGAAAGTGAGTATGACAGAAAATTATCAATTGGTTTCATAAAATCTACCTAAATGGGTAATTCTGTAAGATTTTTAAAAAGATGATTTATGAACAAGTATTCAAATGAATATAAATGAATAACACCCATTAAATTAGTCATGGATTAGTATTATACTGAGTTTTGGCCATCGTATAGAAGGAGAATGTGAATAGCCCATGCAACATTCAGCAGTAAGTAAACCAGAAATTGTTGTTGTGGAGAGATGATATTAAAGGTAATGCTGAAATAATCCATGACTGGCTTTGCATGGTTCTAAGTAAAATCTCTGGGTTACCAGTGATTCTCAGGAGGGGAATGGAGCTTCCAGGGCATGTGGGACAAGAGGAAGTTGTAAAGGCATTTTCACGATAACCTTAAGATATATTGTTAATCACGATATGTACTGTTGAATTAAGAAAAGAAATAAGATTATTTTGAAACTTACGTTTGGCACTAGTTTAAAAAAGGTCAAAACACCACTTTATCCGGATCTTGAACGGCAGTGGGCAAGTAATTTAGGCTGACTGCAGTATAAGACTTTACCCAAATACTCATTCAAAATATTACACTGTTGGAAGTACAAAATATAATTGAGCAACTCTTCACATAATCACCAGTTAAAAAGTGAAAATCAACTGCTGGTGGGCCTACTAACCTGATAACTGAGTGGATATACTCACTGTATACTTACCCTTACTTTTTTCAATGTCTTTTTGACAACAGAATCAATCTGGCCTGAGAGCGCCACAAAGAAGATTTGAGTTAGGAAAAATCTCCAAGTAACTATCATTTTAGACCCTCTACCTGCTGGGGTCATTACATCTATGGATCTTACCACAGTGCGGTAGGGAGCCTGGCCAGGCCTGAACTCAAGTCCAGGCTCTGCCACTTCCTGGGTGACCGTGGAGAGTCATCTGACCCCTCTGCACCTCAGTTGCCTATACTACAAAATGGGATAACACCCACTTAGGAGCACTGAAATAGGGATGCCAGAAACTTGGTAAAAGCTCCATGAATGCCGTTACTATTACAAAATTCCTGCGTAGAAGGTTCCTTGAATCCAAACAGTTGTTAAGGCTCCTTAAAACCAATTATTTCCTTCAGCTCTCTCTCACTTACTCTTTGGATGGGAAAAGGAAGGGGGTGGAGAGGAAAGGTGCAGCAAGACGGAGTCACCCCTGTCAAGCAGGGGCCTGTGTCAAGCAATGGGGTAGCAGGTAAGAGCACTGCAGCTAAGACCAGATGTTACCTAGACCAGCACCAGCTCATGACACACTCAGAACTGATGACCAGCAGAAACAAAGGAGGTCTGCAAAGGCCTAAGACTGATCAAATCCCTTTAAAAAGAGGATTTTTCAGACTTCTCAGACACTGGCCCCTCTGTGTCTGGCCACTTCAAAGAGGCAGCGGGGGAAGGCGGCGCCTGGGTGGCTCAGTCAGTTCAGTGACCAAGGCTTAAAAAAGACTGACCTTCCAAAGGAACAGAGATCCTTCACTGCTTGAACATAACAAGCAGTGAGTGCCCAGCACTGACCCTGACTGGGGCCGCATCTCAACCAGGAACGCACAGACTAACCTCAGGGTGGGTGGGTTAACTTCCTACCTCCGGCTCTACTTGTTTTTCGTGACTTGTCTTGGGCTTTGCTTGTGTAAGCAGCCAAGTCAAACCCGTGGCGAACGGTCACTGAGTTTGGACTCCCGAACCGGCTTTATAGTTATGCCAACCGTGCTCGTGACAAGAGGCCACTAGGGCTCAGGGCTGGAGAAGAAACTCCCAAAGCCCTGGGAGCCAGAGAGCAAAGGAGGGGAGGGTCCTGGTCAACCGCGGGGTTGGGCGTGGAGGTGGAGGGTCGTGGCCCAGCAGCGGGGGGCAAGGTGGGCACGCGGCGGTGGCGGGCTGAGCGCAGGGGCGCGGGGGGCCAAGGGCAGGGTCCGGGCGCCGGAGGGCCGGGGGCTGGGCACCGGGCGGCGGGGCGCTGGGCAGCTGAAGGTGAGGGGCCGGCGGCCGAGGGGGAGGGCAGGCACCCGGCCCAAGCGCCGGGCGCCGGAGGCCGAGGGTCGGGGCCTCGGTCTGGGCCCTGGAAGGCCGCGGGCCAGGCGCTGGGGGTCGAGGGTCAGAGGGCGAGGGTGGGCGCCCGCGGGCTGGGCGAAGGACAAGGGGAGGCACCCGGCGGCGAGGCTGAGGGCCGGGTGGCCGAGGGCGACGGTCGCGCGGCAGAGGACTGGGCGCGGGGGGCGGAGGACGAGCGTGGGCAGCTGGCGGCGCGGGCGGAGGGTGGAGAGTCGGGCTCCCGGTGCCGGAGGGCCGGGGGGACGGGGTCAGGGCCTGGGGTGCGGGCTGCGGAGGGCCGGGGGCAGGCGGCGGAGAGCGGGCCGGGGCCCGGAGGACGAGGCTGGGCAGCCGGCGGCGAGGGTCGGGGCCCCGAGGAGAGCGGCAGGGGCCAGGCCCGGCGGCGGAGGGCGCGTCGGGGCGCGTGGGGTTGGAGCGAGGCTGGCGGAGGCCCGCGGGCAGCAAGCGCCTCAGCCGCGCACGCCGGGCCTCCCTCACGTCCCCTTGGCGAAATGCGGCCTGGGCGAGCCGGGCGGGCAGAGGCTTTCGGGGTCCCAGTTACCGGAGCCATTGGGGCCAATGATGCAGGTGAACCTCCTGAAAGGGCCGATGACTTGGCGGCCCCGCCACGACTTAAAGTTCTCCACGAGCAACAGCTCCAGGCGGCCCATGGCTGCGGCCGCGGCGCCTCAAACGGCTTCCTCACACGCCGGCAGGAAAAGCGCGGGAAGGGCCCCGCGGCGTCTCGCGAGAGGACAGCGAGAACCCAGCGGGCGCCGCGCCGTTCCTAAGCAACCGGTCTGTTTACGTCTCCGAGGAAAGCGGTCTCCGCGCCTTTGGCCGGGTCGCAGAAAGCCCGACAGAGAGCCTGCGAAGCCAGCGCGTATTGCAGGGGAACCATCCTCGCGTAGCCTACAGCTCGTTTCAGCATCTCGCATGCCTTAAAAACCCCTCAGGGTTTCTTCTCCACTTCCGGCCATGGCGCTAGCTCAGCCCAGGGACCTGGAGCAGTACTTGGCCCTGGGCAAGAGGAGGCATAACGAGTTGTGCAGGCAGAAACGGATCTTCAACGCCAGGAACAGGATCATCGGGGTGAGGTCCCCGGACCGGGAGGGCGTGTGCGGGGCGTGGCGAGGGAGGCGGGCGGCGGGACGGCGGAGGCGAACCCCTGCAGTGAAACCGCTGATGCTGAGGCACAGCGGCGGACGGCCCGAGGTGTGCTGGGGAAGACCAGTTCGTTGTGTTGACTACTGACGACGGGCAAGACCTTCGCAGACCCGATACTGCACCCCCTCACCTGCGGGGCAGGCAGGGAGGGGCTTGCCTGCCCTGAGTGGCTCAACAGAGGCCTGAGCGTGGGTCTCCTCTCTCTGAGCCGGATTTTCTACGCTGCCAGGGGCTCCCTCCGGTCTATCCATCTGGCAAATGCCGGTGGCGTTCCTCTTTTGCGGCGAGCCTGAGCTGGTGCCAGGAATGGGGAATATGGCAGACCCTGCCTGACCTTGCAGAGTTCGTGGCCCATGGAGGAGAGGAGAGGCAAGCACTAAAATGGCCACATTAACGTGCAGTGGAATCAGTGCTGTGAGGGAGGGGAGCACAGGGTGTCAGAGGAGCACAGACTGGGGCCAGGAAAGGAAATCAGAGAGGGCTTCCCAGAGGTGTTGCCTAAGCGGGGTTCTGAAGATATCTACTGACCAAGAGAAAGGGAGAAGGCAGCTCTGGGGACAGGCTGAAGAACCAACTGTAAGCAAAGGCATGCAGGTATGAGAAGACCTGAAGTGTACCTAAGACAACAGTGGAACAAGGCTTAAAAAAGATAAGTAGGATTGTCATCGATGGACTAAAATTATCTGGCTGTAACTTGTCTCCCCTTTTTTTCCATTCCTAGGGAGACACAGAAGCCTGGGACGTTCAGGTTCGTGACCAGAAGATAAAAGAAGCAACGGAAAAAGCTAGACATGAAACTTTTGGTGAGCATTTCCTGAAGCCTCCCTAGCAGTTTAGGGCTGTGTACCTCTTGACCCAGTCCTCATGTCTTCAAATACGTAAAACTTGTCATTTTCACACTCCTCCTCCTTTTAAGATTTCATAGTTGCTTGTGTTTAAGTAACTTAATGTGTTGATTCTTTCTCCCTTAAAGGGAAAACAGATATTGAATTCTATTTGGGTTGTAGGAAATACATTTTGAGGGTAAATGTACATTTTATTAGTTTTCTTTGAAAACTGGTTATGAAAAACCCTAAACACACACCATTCTCTGCCCAAAAGTTCCAGACCCTCTCCTGGGGACAACTGCTTGCACTAAATGACACACACACAATCCCAACTCACACCCCTGTGCTGACTCGGAGCTAGATATGATAGCTTGGCAGCCCTGAGATAAAAATTTCAAATAGAATTCATTTTCCCACATCAGGTGCAACAATTCCAGCTTATCTTTTTCAAAGCACCATAGGATTTTTAAATTTTTTAAAAGATATATTCATTTATTTGAAAGAGCAGGGGGAGGGGCAGAGGGAGAGAATCTCAAGCAGACTCCACACCCAGTGTGGAGCCCAACTGGGGGTTCAGTCTCATGACCCTGAGATCATGACCTGAGCCCAAATCAAGAGTCAGACGCTCAACTGACTGAGCCACCCAGGCGCCCCTATAAGGATTTTTTTTTTAAAGATTTTATTTATTTATTTGAGACAGAATGAGAGAGAGAGCACATGAGAGGGGGGAGGGTCAGAGGGAGAAGCAGGCTCCCTGCCAAGCAGGGAGCCCGATGCGGGACTCGATCCAGGGACTCCAGGATCATGACCTGAGCTGAAGGCAGTCGCTTAACCAACTGAGCCACCCAGGCGCCCTATAAGGATTTTTTTTTAAATAGAAAAAAGCAGATGCAAAATTGTATATACCATGGGCTATGAACTAAATGTTAAAATATATTTTAAAAAAATAAGCTTAGAAAAAGACAGAAAGAAAATATACCAAAATGTAAGCAGTGGTGATGTTGGAATGATAGAATATGAATGAAGTTTATTTTCTTCTCTAGTTTCTGAACAGTTCACCTTTTTATGTTATGTTTAAAAATAATTCAAACTTACAAGAACAATATGACAGGATATACATACCTACTACCCCATTAGATGTTAATATTTTGCCAAACTGGCTTTAGATATCTTATTTTAAGAATTCTTTTTGAGAATTAAATTCTATATATGTATGTATGTATGTATGTGTATCTATGACTATAGATATATAAATGCTATAATGTATATCTAAAAATGTATAAATGTTTAAATGTATACATAAGTATATATAAACCCTACATATGTGTATGTATAGTTATAGATAGATAGAGCTCTCCCCCACCTCATCGTCCCTCCTCCTCCCTCCTCAGACAGATACATCATTTCCATGCATGTTTCTTATAATATTGTACTATTTATATACATATTCATGATGATATAAAAATTTTTGTGTGTGTTTTAAGATACAATTTCGTGTGGGTGTTTTAAAATTTCACCGAAATCTTACATAAATACATTGAATGGATCCTTTTGCAACTTTTTTTATTCAACATATTTTTAAAATTAATCAGTCATGGGGTGCCTGGGTGGCTCAGTCAGTTCAGTGACCGACTCTTGATTTTGGCTCCTTGCTCAACAGGGAATCTGCTTCTCTTCCTCTCCCTCTGCCCCTCCCCCCCCCCACTTGCACAGTCTCTCTCTCTCAAATAAATAAAATCTTAAAAAAAAAATAAAATTAGGGATGCCTGGGTGGCTCAGTCGGTTAAGCATCTGCCTTTGCCTCAAGTCATGATCTCCAGGTCCTGGGATTGAGTGCCGAGTTGGGCTCCTTGCTTGGCAGGGAGTCTGCTTCTCCCTCTGCCTGCTGCTTCCCCTGCTTGTGCTCTCTCTCTCTCTGACAAATAAATAAATAAAATCTTAAAAAAAATTAATCAGTGATCTACATGTAGAATGTTCTTTTTAATTATCTTATGATATTTTGTTATATGAATTAACCACAATTTCTTTATTCATTCCCCTCCCGATGGCTGATTTAGATTTTTTCCAAACAATGCTGCAATGACTATCCATGTGTTATGTCCCTAGTGTACGTAGGTGAGAGATACCTAGAAGTAGAAATGGTAGGTCATTGGGTGTGCATGTTTTCAATTTTATGGGATATTTATTGGCAAATTGCTTTCCAAAGTTATAAGTGTACCAAGTTGCACTCTCCCAAGCAGTGAATGAGAAATCTTGTTTCCTTACTACCCTTACTAATGTCCTTACTAATATATGCTATTATTAGCATTTTAAATATTTTGCCAATTTATCAGATGGTTCCCATCTTGTAAGGCCAGTCATCTTTTCAGAAGCCTTTTGATCATTCAGGTTTCTTTATAGTGATTTGCCTGATCCTATTCTTGGCCTACTTTTTGCTTTGGTTGTTTGGTGGGTTGTTTTGTTTTGTTTTGAGAGAGTGCATGCATGAGGAGGGGGAGGGGCAGAGGGAGAGGGAGAACCTTAAACAGGCTTCACATGGAGCACAGAGCCTGACTTGCATCGTGATCGGTCACGACCTGAGCTGAATCAAGAGTCAGTTGCTTAACCAACTGCGCCACCCAGGCGTCCCTGTTTGGTTTTTTTAAACTGATTTGTAGAGACTCTTTACATATTCAGAATACTAATTCTTTGATGGCTGTGTTACCTTTTCAGAGGCTTATACTACTTTAGAATCACTAAAAATTATTTTTTAAAGCGGATTCAAATTTATTTTTTCTCCGAACCTTAATCTTACAGATATGTTCCATTTCTTCCAGCTGCTGAAATGAGGCAAAATGACAAAATCACATGCATATTGGAAGGCCGGGAAAGGCGAGATAAGAGAAGCCTCTGTAAAGCCATCAGTGACTTCCAGCAGCACTTCCAGAGGCCAGAAACGCGCCGTGAATTTGACCTATCAGACCCCCTAGCGCTTAGGAAAGATCTTCCAGCTAGGCAGTCGGATAATGATATTCGGAATACAGTATCAGGAATGCAGAGATTCATGGGAGAGGATTTAAACTTGTGCGAGAGGAAGAAATTCCAGGAGGAACAAAACAGGGAATGGTCCTTGCAACAGCAGAGGGAGTGGGAGAAAGCCCGCGCCCACCAGAGATGTGCAGGTAATGCAACAAGAAGGACAAACTGGTCTCAGTACTTTCTTCAACAGATCGGCCCCCTGGTCTTTTCCCCCGCTTCATTTTTGTCTCTTAAGTCCTACTAATGTGCTGTGTTGGCCAGAGTCAGCCTGCATTCTAGGATTTGAATGTCTTCAGTCACATGTCAGTTGTGCAGGGGACCGGCTCTGAGCTTGCACTCTGAGCCCGGGCTCCCGCGGGGTGCTGGGGCGCACAGTACCTTGGAATGCACCCTGCCCTTGGGGTGCTCACAGTCTGCTGGGAAGACATTGGAGAATACACGGGTGCAGCCGGGTTGTCTCAGGGCTGTGCTAGATGTCCCTACAGGGTCTGAGGGGTGTGGCCGAGGGCACCCTGGTCACATGTCCTCACCAGGACCCTCTGGGCCCAGGGATCCTCTCTGACAGAGCCTCCACAGCAGGAAACAGCCTCTCTCCTGGAGGGCGCTGCAAGGCCAGCACATCCTGCTGGCACTCCGGTGGCCAGCATTTCTGCTTTACCAGGGCCTCTGCGTGGGGACTCCCAGCAGCTTCTGATCTCTGGCGACTTCTCGTGCCAGGAAGACGCTGTAATGGAGAGGACAGTGTCACGGCTCTCGTGCACGTGCTGGCGGGGTGACAGGACACAGAAGTGCTTTGGTGAAGACCAAACAGGAGCTGTGACAGGGAGTGAGGCCCCCTCACACCCTCCCAACTCCCCCAACCCCAGCCTTGCCTCTCTGGTGGTTTCCCTGCAGCCTCCCTGGGCAGCTCGCCCTCCTCCCAGCACCCCTCCCCTCTTCTCTTCTCTTCTCTTCTCTTCTCTTCTCTTCTCTTCTCTTCTCTTCTCTTCTCTTCTCTTCTCTTCTCTTCTCTCCTCTCCTCTCCTCTCCTCTCCTCTCCTCTCCTCTCCTCTTCTCCTCTCTTCTCCTCTCTTCTCACTCTGCTCTCCAGGAGTGATGTCTCCCCAGATGGCCCACCCCCACCAGACTTCTGCCCTCGCCCTGCCCCGAACCTGCCTGGCCACTGTCACCAGGACCTCCACGCTGTCCCACCCAAGCTCGGTTTTCAGACCTCTCCTTCATCTGCATCCTGTGCCATCGTGGATTACCTCCTCCTCCTGGGAATACTCCTTCAACTGGCTTCCAGGACACACCCTCAGTCCCATGCTCCTCCCCAGGCCCTTTGCTGTTTTCTCCTCTCCTTCCAAACCTCCAGATGTTGTTGCTCACTGGGGCCCTCTGCACCTCTCCTCTCTCAACCACGCTTGTTCTCTTGGTGATCTTAGCTTGTCTAATGGGTTTAAATACCACCCATAGGCCATCATTCCCCATATTTACATCTCCAGCCTGGACTCTTCCCTGAATTCAGATGCATACATCCAGTCACCTCCCGACGTCTATGTGCTCTTAGGTGTCTAATAAATTATCCAAGGCAATACAAGACTCACTGACCTTCCCCCCAAAGCTGACCTTCCACCTCTGTCAATGGGAACTCCACTGTTCGAGTTGCTCAGGCCCCAACCCCAAGCATCTTGATTCCTTCCTTTCTCTCAAATGCCACATCCAGTCCAGCAGCAAATCATCTCAAACTGCAACTACCTCCCTCCAGCTCCACCATGACCATCCTGGACCAAGCTATCAACATCACTCTGTGGGATTATTGCAATAGACTCTAAGTGGTCTCCCTGCTTCTGCCCTTGTCCCTCTGTAATCTCTTCTCAATCCAGTGACCAGAATGAACCTGCAAAAAATTAAGCTAGATCTTTTGCTCAAAACCTTCCAATAGCTTCTCATTTCACTCAGAATAAAAAACAGATTCATTTCAAGGACCAACAAGGTTTTCACAGTCTGGACTGATCTCCTCCCACACTGCCTTTCATTCATCCCACCCTTGCCACCTTGGCTTCCTCACTTAGAATGTTAAGTGTGTCAGACTCACTTCTGCCTCAGGGCCTTTGCACCAACTGTTTCCTCTGCCTGGAAACATTTCCCTATATATCTGCATATCCTGCCCCTTATCCTTCTACAGGTCTTTGCTGAAATGTCATCTTATCAGAGAGGTCTCCCCCGACCACTATTTTAAATGGCAACCCTGTACCCTCCCCCATCCCCACACTCTCTTATCCACTTCTCCATAGCACTGATTACTGACATACTGTATGGTTATGTGTTTGTCATCCCTCTCCCTAGTAACCTATCCCAAGCTCAATGAAGGCAGGAGATTTAGTCTGTTTTTTTCACTGCTCGATCTTTAATTCTTGGCACATAGATACCTGTTGAAAAATGCATTCATAGGCCTTTAAAAAAATCTCACCCACTTCCCAGGTTTCCATGTCTGGCTGAGAGCTTTTATCTCAGCATTGGTCTTGCTCCTTGAACTGCCCCCTGGACATATCCCCAGGCACCTCAAAACATTCTGGAAAGTAACCCTGAATTTCTCTTTGGCTCTGCTCCTCCCTCCACCCTCCTCCCTTCAGTGAATGACACCTCCATCCCTAGTCAAACCGCAAACCTGGGAGTCCTCCTTGAGCCACTCTTGTCTCCAGGCCACCCTCAACTCCCATCCTTCTACCTCCTGTGTGTATTTGGAACTGTCCATTTCTCCCATCCCTGCTGTCACCATGGTGATCCAAGCCACCACCTTTTTTTTCACCTGGAGGGACCATGCCGAGGGCTTTCTAATTGTCCTTAATTTTCTTTCTTGTCCCCTCAGTCTATTCTCAACATAGCAGTCAGAGCGCTACTTTTTAAACCATGTCAAGCTGGACAGTGTCACCCCCACTCCCTCCATTCCAGCTTAAAACCCTCCAGTGGCTTCCCATTACGTATGGAATAAAATCCTCGGCTCCCCCTGGCAGAGCTCCCTTGCCCATTGTGAGGATGACTGATCAGTGCCCCGGCCCAGGACCACAGCCAACATCAGCAATCCCCGGTGGTAATGCTAACACCCCGTGCCCGCACCCAAGAGCTTTACCTGAATCCCCTGCTCTGTGGATGAGGGCAGGGTAAGAAGAGATGCTCTGCGTGCCTGGGAAGGAGCTTGGGGTGGGCATGCAAGGTTTGACTGCGTTTTGCTGCCTTTTCAGAGGACCTCTACTTGAAGACAAGGCTGCAGTTTGATGAAAGAGCCAAGCATTTACAGAATCTGGAAAGCGCCACCAGAAAGGCAGCGTGCACAGCTGTGAAAGAATTCAACAAGAGCCAGGTACACCCCAGGCTCCGTCTCGGGGGTGAGGACACGCACAGGGCCACTTCCCCGGGGGTGCCCCAGCCTCCTGTGCCCAGCTCAGCCCTTCACCGGCTCACACCACACCCCGACAGAGCCCTGCCAGGGCTGCCCAGTTACAGAGAGGAATGGACCCAGTCCCTGCTCCTGAGCTCTGAATCGGGGTGTGAAATTCAACAAAACTAGTCATGTGAGCCTGGGGTGTGGGGGTGGGGCCTCAGTTGATCCTCTAAACCTCAGAGTCTTCTCCAATACCGAGGACTATGACATCTACCTAAACAGATGCTACCTAGCGCTGCTCTGACAACTTGTTGTGGTTTCACTTCCTCTCTATCACCTCTCAGAGCTCTGGTCCTTACGGAGAACAGGTCCACGGGTGCTCATTAACAGGAGCAATTATTATGGTGATGATTAACACAAACGCCTGGCGCCTCCTGACGCCTCCCTCCTCTCTAAACTCTGTAGGGCCTCCTTCCAAACACTCCTCCTCACCTGGCCATTCCCTGTTCTCTATTCCTTTTGTTAATTAGATGCCCCCCCCGATTTTCTTTTCAAAACGATTATACTTCCTGGATAGGATGGGGGCCACCCCCGATTCATTTAGCCCACGAGCTGGTTGACCAGAACTATGGTCTGTGAAGTAGGGTGAGCGGATGATGCACCAGAGAGTGGGAAGGGAATAGGAGAATCCTGCCTCCAGTATTTATTTTTAACCTCATCATTTTTAATCCGCATGTTAGTGTGTGTGTGTGTGTGTGTGTTATGAAGTACATGCTATTGGTATGATCTAATAGTATCGCATTGTGAACTAAAGATATTGGAGACACAAGCTCAAAAATGTCCTACTGGTGGGACATTTATGTCGTCCAAGAATCCTGGAGAGGCCGGACCAGAGACCAGAGAGAATGTTGGCTTTCAGTGGGGCAGGAGGGGGAGGGGTTGTGGGGGTCTGAGGAGGGCGCACTGCTTGGGGGGGCGGAGCCCAGGGACAGACCAAGGCCCCTGGAGCCCAGGTCACAACCAGCAGCCTGCAGGAAATCCAAACATCACCTGGTCCTTGCCCTTCATTTTGCAGACAACGCCTAAGAGGAGAGGTCATTTGCTCCCCGCCCTGCAGAGAATTCCTGGCGGATGGGGCCCTTGATTCTCAGTGTGCTGTGACTGCTCATCCCTTCTTTACTCGCTCAGTTCTCTCAACAGGTTATTCATTAGCCCTCTTGCTGGGGACTGTTTTTGTTGTTTTCTGGAAACCATGTTGCTGCACTAGTTGATGTATTTATTCATTCAGTGACATTTTTTTTTTAAGATTTTATTTATTTATTTGACAGAGAGAGACACAGCGAGAGAGGGAACACAAGCAGGGGGAGTGGGAGAGGGAGAAGCAGGCTTCTCGCCGAGCAGGGAGCCCGATGCGGGGCTCGATCCCAGCACCCTGGGATCATGACCAGAGCTGAAGGCAGACGCCTAACGACTGAGCCACCCAGGCGCCCCTGTCTAGAATATTTTTTCTTTTTTTTTTTAAAGATTTTATTTATTTATTTGAGAGAGAGAATGAGAGAGAGAGAGAGCATGAGAAGCGGGAGGGTCAGAGGGAGAAGCAGACTCTCTGCCGAGCAGGGAGCCTGATGTGGGACTCGATCCCGGGACTCCGGGATCATGACCTGAGCCGAAGGCAGTCGCTTAACCAACTGAGCCACCCAGGCGCCCCCATTCAGTGACATTTTTAGTGAGTACCTACAACGTGCTGGCACTCTCGGCTCCCCCAACTCCTCACGTGCACACCACGAGGCACGGGTGGAAAATGCCCCCCGTTCGGGGGAAAGCCCCCTGTGGCTTCTGCAGCTCAGTTCCTGACTGGAAACAGGCTTTGTCCATTAGCCTGGAATATTAATACAAAGGTCTAGGTAATGGTCCTCAGGAGCAAATCCGAAGCAGGTCAGTCCAACTCAGCAGAGGAGGCACACATTGGAGAGTCTCCCTCAGGGAGGTGAGGCCTGCTCCTTTTGTTAGACGTGTGTTGTGGTGTCAGGGTTAGGGGCAGGCCCTGGGGCCCAGCTGGGCAGGGACAAGACCAGGCTCTTGTCTGCCACCCTGGAAAAGCCAACCAAGTGCCTCAGTTTTGTCATCTGCCGAGTGGGGATGATGATGACACCCACCTATGCCAGTCAGGAGTGGGCTAACTCATGCTGGCGTGGGTGGGAAACACTTCCCAAATCTCAGTCTTGGCGCGCCTGGGCAGCTCAGTCGGTTGAGTGTCCAACTCTTGATTTCGGCTCGGGTCATGATCTCAGGCTCCTGGGATCAAGCCCCACATTGGGCTCCATACTCAGTGGGGAGTCTGCATGAAATTCTCTCTCTCCTCTGCCTCCTGCTTGTGTGCACGCATGCTCTCTCTCTAAAATAAATTAAAAAAAAAAAAAAAGAAGTCACCACTGTTGTGAATCACTCTGTTGGGGCTTCTTTGTGGCCTATAGCAATCCCGGGGTGACCGGGGCCATTGGGAGGGGCACAGAGCCTTGCCCTGAGGTGAGTGAGGCCAAGCCAATGGGAGATGGTGGCCTAACCTGGGGAGATGGCTCCCGGCTTTGGCAAATTAGTGCAAACACCTGCAGTTCTTACACACACAGCCAGCAGGTGGGGATTCCCTCAGCCCAGCCCACATGCCCATTGTCATCAAGGCAGCCTGGGTCCAAGGGCCTCCCCACATCCATGCCTGACGAGTCTTCTGCCCCCACCCCACCTGTCCCATGTGCACGTTAGCAAACTCTTCCAAGTCAAGGGCTCCCAGTGAGATGTGCTCACCTGTGCCTCAATCCCCATGGGGTCACTCAGGGCATCTTCCTTAATGTCTTCCCATGTGCAGGCCACCGAGTCACTGGAAAGGAAAATTCGAGAGAAAAAACAGGAACAAGAAGACAACCTGGCTGAGATCTCCAACCTGCTGCGTGGGGACCTGCTCTCGGAGAACCCACACCAGGCAGCCAGCTCCTTTGGGCCCCACCGCGTGGTCCCCGACCGCTGGAAGGGCATGACCCAGGAGCAGCTGGAGCAGATCCGCCTGGTTCAGAGGCAGCAAGTCCAGGAGAAGCTGGTACCCGCCCCCTCCCCTCCTCACAGAGCCCGCACACATAGCCCTGGGCCACCCTCCTGCTGCCTTCCTCCAGCATCGGGTTATAGCTGCTGCCGTACTCGTCCCTAGAAGAAGCCCTCAAGGAGTTTCTGTTCTGGGTCGGGGGCACGGGGAGACGAGAGTCAAATAACCCCACACATGGGTGATGTGCTTGGGTGGATGTAAGGCTGGGCCAAGGGGATGGAGGATTTGGGGCTTGAGGGGCGTCACCAGGAGACTAGGAAGTGATGTTGGAACAAAGACTTGAAGAAGGGGAGGGAGTGAGCCACGCAAATATCTGGGGAACGACCACCAGGCAGGGTGAGATTCAAGGGCAAAGGCCTTGAGGCAGGACCAGCTCAACCTGTTCAGGGAAGAGTGAGGAGCCAGGTGGCTGGAGGTGGAGTGAGGACAAGGACAGGAGGAGGTCTTGGTGGTGGAAGGTCAAGGTCCTGGCAGTCCACGGGGAAGACTTGGCTTTTTCTGTGACCGATGGGAAGCTCTGGAGGGTTTTGAGCAGAGGAGTGACACGCTCTGACTTACATTTCGCAGGATCCCTCTCGCAGCTGTGTTGAGGAAGGACTGCATTGGGGTGGGGGTGGGGAGAGGGATCACTGGGGAGGCTGTTGCAGTGGTCAAGGTGAGAGATGGTGCTGGCTGGGTCCAGGGCACTGGCAGTGAGGGTGCTGAGAAATGGTCAGATTCTGGATCTATTCTGAAAGTAGAGAAGACAGGATTGGTTGAAGGGTTGGGTGTGGCATATGAGACCCAGAGGAGGTAAGGATTACTCCATGCCTTCTGGCTTGAGCAGTGAGAAGGATGGAGTTGGCATTTACTGAGATAGGATGATGATGGGAGGAGCAGGTTGGTAGGTGGAGTAGAAGTCACAAGTGCAACTTTGGATATGTTATGTGTGCAGTGCCTATTAGACATCTATATCTGTTAGGATTCTGTGCCTGATCATGGCAGAAAACCCTGACTAACAGCATCTTAAATAAAATAGAACTTGTCTCTTGCATGGAGACCAAATCCTTAGGAAGATAGTCCGGGGCTGGTATGGCAACTCCATGGTCATTGACTAATGTTTTGCCATCCTTGGCACCTGGCTCCCACTTCCTAGTGCAAGCTGGCTGCTTGAGCTCCAGCCATCACATGCATATTCCACCTAGCAGGAGGAGTGCTCGCTTTGGCAGCACATATACCATCTAGCAGGAAGAAGGAATGAGGAAGAACACTTTAAGGACACTTCTCAAAAGTTTCATGGGACACTTCCACTTAAATTCCCTTGGATAACACTTAGTCACAGGGTTGCCCCAAAGTGTAAAGAAGATCAGGAAATGTAGTGTTTATTCCAGGCCGTAAGGTGCTGGCAGTTGTTTTATTAAGGAAGAAAGAAAAAATGGCTACCGGAAGACAAGTAATATTTTCTGCCATGACGTCCCAGTAAAGCCAGCAGCTGGAGTTCAGAATGAGGTCTGGGCTGGAGACAGAGGCAGAGAGATATGGCCACACAGACAGTGTTTAAGGCAGTGAACCTGGCTAAGGTGAGTGAAGACAGAAGGGGTCTGAGGACTGAGTCATGGGACAGCCCGCACCCCTACCATTGTTTAGGGAGAGTGAAGGGGCTGGAGAAGGGAAGCCAGGGAGGGAGGAGGGGCCCAGCAGGGGAGCCCCTGGGTCAGACAGTGCCACTGGGCTGCTGGCTGAATGCTGGATCCAGGTGGCAGTCCCTGGCGCCTCCCTCTGGAGCATCCTTGGAGGAGGGGCGGGGGAGACCGAAGGTCACAGGCAGGAAGGAAGTGGAGACCACAGGTGCAGACAACCCTCGCAAAGTGTTTTGCTCTAAAGGGTGCAGGGAAAGGGGGTGGTAGCTGGTGGGGACACGGGGTCAAGAGAAGGTTTTGGCTTTCTGATTATAGAAGTAACAGCATACTTGTCATTCCACGAAGACAACACAGTAGAGAGGGGGACATTGACACCAGCAGGGACCTGCTGGAGCCCGTGGCCCGGGTGGCAGACGCGCAAGGCCCTGGCAGCACTAGCTGATGCTTGGGGAGCCCAGGCTGATCATCCTTGGCCGTGGGCGTGGGGCGTGTTGGCGGGGCAGCATGTGGAGCCCCTATTTCCTGGGGAAACAGGAAGGGAGGCCAGCAGCTGAGGGGGAGGGGGTCCAGTTGGGGGTTTGGGGATGGAGAATGGGGTGCCAATGGTCATCTAGGAGAGCCGGAAAGCAACGGCCTAGGGGAAGAGGGCAGGATGGCCAGGCAGAGCCGGGGGCCCCCTGGAGGCTGAAGGTTATGAACTTGAAGTATCCCCAGTGAGCGTGGTCAGGTGCCCTGGCCACGCTCAGCTGTAAGGAGTCCATGCTCAGGGCCTGCTCGCAAGTCTGACCAAGTGAGAGTTTCAAGGGCACCAAGGGTGTCTGCCAGGGGGTGTCAGCCATGGACGTTGGGCTGAGCAAGGAGGGACATGAAGACGCAAAGAGTGCCGGGACTAGGAAGTGTGCGGTCAGTGGGTAGGAGGGCCCGGCATGGGGTGAGGGATGGAATAACTGTTGAAATCAGGGGACTGGAGAATGGGTGGAAGAGGCAGATCAGAATGGTGGAGATTAGGACCCTTGAAGACGGTGACCCTAGGGAGGCTGGCATTCTTGGTAATGACAAGGTGGGGGCAGAAGTCCTCAAAGTGGGGTCTCTGGACCAGCAGCATCAGCATTGCCTAGGAACTTGGGAGAAATGCAGATTCTCAGGCCCCGCCCCAGCCTCCTGAACCAGAATCCCTGGAGCGGGGCCCAGAGTCTGTGGCTAGGAAAGCCCCCCCCCCAGGGGTTCTGATGCCTGTTGGAGTTCGAGGGTCACTGGTAGGCTGTGCCCAGGGGGTGACAGCTGACGGGTTGGCCCTAGGTCTTTGGAGAGGAGAGGGACTGGCTGAGAAGCCAGGGAAAGGAAAGTTCTCAGGCCTGCAGGGTGGGCGGGGCTGCCCCAGGGTCAGCAGATGACCACCTCGGGTGGGATGGCAGGTGCCTCGGTCAGGCGAGTATAGGGGGAGGGGCAGCAGCCTGGCTCAGGGAATGAGGAGCAGGTGGGACATCTCCCCTGCCTGGTCTCCTCCAGGCCCAGAAGGTCAAGTGTGTGGGAGCGGGAGTGGGGGGCAGCCAAGGCTGAGGCAGGGAAGTAGCCCAATGTGGGAAGAGCTCCGAAGTTGGCATCAGATGCAGGGAATGTTGGTCCCCCTTGCAAGGCCCTGCTCTGTCCCTCTCTCCTGCGATTCAGCTCAACTACCTGGCAGGGAAGGTTGACCATCTGTCCGGAAAGCAGCAGCATCTTTGTCGAAAATGAAGACAGAAAAACACAAAGGGGAAAAACACCTACAATATGTCTCACCACTCATAAATACTCCCCTGCCCCGCACCCTCGTATGCCCCCCGGTGCCCTTCCCTCCTGCCGCCTCTTTCACGTAGGGAGACCGTTTGAAAAACGGAGATCATGCAAAGAATAGTTAGGTTGCCTGTCTCTGAGTCCGGGGCAAGTATGTCCCCATGGCATTCTCTATTCTTCATGAAAGCATCTTGTGTCATGACTCAGGGCAGCTGTGAGCAGCCTCATTTTACAGGAGAGGAAACTGAGGTTTAGACAGGCAAAATGACTCACCCTGTAGGTGACAAAGCCAGGCTAGCCTCGGCTTAGTCCCTGGGTGGGGGGCCGGGGCCTCTGCCAGCCCGTCTGTGCCTGGTGGTCTGCTGACCCAGGACTGCGGGGCCACCGGACACTCTAGCCCTGCTCATCGGGTGGCCGGGAACCCTTCCCTGAAACCCATGGAATGGAAGGAGGCGTACTCATCCTCAGACCCGGCGCCACCTGCTTTTGCTTCCTTTTGCCTGGAGAAGGGTGAGCTGACAAAGTAATTTATACTCAGGATGGCTGATAAAACTACTCAGGTTTCGGGGAGTGGCCCCTTCCCTCTGCATTCATCCAGTTGCCTCTTCGAAGGCTCAGTGGTTTTTATAGAGGGGTCTGGAAGGCAAAGGGGAATGAACTGAGATGCAGAAATTCACCCCCAAGATCATGAGCCCATTGTCGGGTGGGGCTGTTGCTTCCGTATGTTCTAGAAGCGACCGGGTGATCCCAGTGTTCGGCGGCACGCCCCGCTGGTGGCGTCCGGGGTGGGAGGCCCTGCCTTCGGAGCCCTGGGCTGGCCGCTGCTGTCCCTGCAGGCCTCAGAGGGCCGGCTGACACCTTCCAAGTGTGGGACGCACCTGGGCCGCCCGGAATGATGGCAGGTGGGGGTGGTCTCCTCTGATTTCCCGCACGATGTTGCTCACCTACCTGCCCCCCCACCGCCCGAGCCTCAGTTTCCCTAGCTGTAAGATGAGAGGCCGATTCTCCTGATGATCCCCTGGACCTCTTCTGGGTCTGGGGACGGGTGGTGGTGAGTCACCTCTCCTCCCTCCAGAGGCTTCAGGAGGAAGAGTGGCAGCGAGACATGGAGTGGGACCGGCGGAGGGCACAGACGGCGCGCGCCGCTCTGCTCAGGGAGCGGCGGCAGCAGCACCAGCAGCGAGACCTGCGCCGGGCTCTGGACTGCAGCAACCTCGGCCTGGCCAAGGAGCAGCGTGCGCAGTGAGGGCCTGGGGGCACGGGGGAGGAGGGGTCGGGGTGGGGGAGCAGGCAGCACGTGGGAGTGGAGATCCGGCTGAGTCGTGGGGAGGGTCAGAGCAGGCCGTGTGGGCCCACCCTCCCCGAGTCCTTCCCACCCGGAGGCCCAGGGCCCGTGCCCTGGATCTCCCCGGGGGCCCCCTCGCAGCCGTGGCTTGGGCGGCACGGCCCCCCGGTATAGAATTCAAACAGGAAGGGGAGAAGGGCTGAGAGCCACAGGCCAGAAATTAAGGGCTTGGAAACCACTGGTCCCGGCACTGGCCAGATGACCCACTCTGGGAGGTGCTTGTGGGGACACTAGTGACCCCCAGTGGCTCAGACGTGGGGGCTGGTGATGGAGTACACAGAGGGCACGGGAGCCCCAGGGGAGGGCACTGGGTGAACCTGGGGGAGTCGGAGGGCTTTTCCCAGGAGGCTGCGTGGCTCAGACATGGTGGGAGGACGGTGGCAGCGACCCAGTGCAGCGAGGGGCCTCCCAGGCTGCCCAGGGCCGGCTGGAGTCTCTTCGCCATACTGACAGACCCCAAGAGCTGTTCGCAGTTCCGCCTACAGAAGACGTCAAATGCAGATCCGTCGGTGAACTTGTTGTTAAAAAACACATTATTTACTTATTTACCTGTCTGTTCATCAAGCTCTTGGCTTGAACTTGGCAGAGACCACCGGTATGTTCTGCAATCAGGTGTCTGTTTCCCGGTGGGTCCACTGTTGGCCGGTCACTTCTGTTGGGGGCCCCAAAGAAGCAGTAGAGACGATCTGAGGGGAGTCAGATGGGATGAACAAATGTCTTTACAGCCACGCTATATATGTGGTACATACATGTGTGTGTACTGCATACACGCATGCATGTGTGTGTGGTGTATTCATGTATGTGCGTGTATAGTGTACAAATGTGTATATGTGTGTATAGCGTATATATGTACACATGTATGTATATATACGTGTAGATAGATATAGATTTAAAAAGTAGAATATTTAGGAAACCAGGCCTTTGCTGATTGTTTTTTTCTCCTTGTTTTACTATCAGGAAAAAATATATGGAGGAAGTCTGTACAAATCAACCCACTGAAGATTATTTCACACAATTTAATACACAAAGTCGGTAATAATGAAAGAGAAACCGTTTATGCCTAAAATGCAGTAGCTGTGAAGAGTCACATGTATTAAAAAAAGAAATCCACTCCGTGTCTCGGAGGTCCCCATCTCACTTTTCTCCCGTGGACTAAAATGCATAGAACCTCTCTCTCCCTTGCACGTGTATGAGGAGCATTAGTCTCTGTCCAGCTCCGCTCGGAGAGTGTCCCCGGGGTCGGCCGTGGGGGCCGTGAGTGCAGGGATGGAGCAGACGTGGCCCCGTGGAGGACTATCCCAGAGAGAGTGGCGTTTGAGGGGGCCCGCGTCTCACTGAGCCCCGGTGAGCCTGCTGTGAAGGCCAACATGAGCGCTTACTATGTGCGAGGTGTTTGGAACAATCTGACCCTCATGGCAGCCAGTGGTGGGTATCTTTATGACTCACCTGCTCAGGAGAGGAGCCTGAGATGCAGACATGATAAGTGACTTGCCCAAGGTCATGCTGACGGGCAGTGATGGGCCTGGGCTTGAGCCCCGGGGGCCTAGCTCTCAAACGCCTCCCTCTCCTGGCTCCGGTAGCAGCGCCCCAAAGCAAGAGCAGCTTCAGCAAAGCCCTTTACCTCCTGCTCTGGGGGCTCTCTAGCCGGGCGCACACAAAGGCACGTTATCTGTGGAGCGCAGCATGCGACGGCCTGGGGGACCGCACGGGCTGAGGTGGAAGGAGAGGATCCTGTGGACTTCAACAGGAGAGCTCCTGAGGAGCTGTGGGCCACGGAGTGGCAGGATCCGGTGTGCGTGCTTCCGAAGGGGGGCTCCAGCAGCGGCGGGGCCGCCAGAAGAGAGGCTGACTTTGAAGACAAGCGTCCCCGTCTCCTGGCCAATCCAGGCTCACGCAGGCTCCCAGAATGGCAAAGCATTTGAGCGAATGGTCACACTGGGACATAGTTCACACCCAGAGTTCACCTAGTAATGCTGCCACCCCCAGGGCGAGGCGGGGCAGGCGGGTGTGGGGGGCTCCTGCAGGTGCTAGGGCTGAAATAGGAATTGTGATCTTATGCCAGGGAGTGGGGCACAGGCAAGTCCACTGATGTGGGATCTCACTAGTGCCCCTTGTGGATGAGCTTGTTCACTACAAGTCTATGGAGCCGAGGTGTTCTTGGCAGGCCGTCTACTGGCTCAGATTGCCCCTAGGATGTCCCCGTTAGGCAGCGGGGCAATTCCAACAGACCCACGTTGACTATGCTCCTCCTCCCGGGGGAGGAGACCTCCAGATCCATCCTAATCAAGTGCACCCCATGTGATTCACCCCCTCGCCACGGCTGCTGGCCATCCCGAATGCAGTGTGTACTCCTGAGTGACTGACGATGACAGTACGCCCCCTCATTTCCTGGGGCTGCCATAACAAAGTAGCACAGACTGGGAGGCTTAGCCACAGACATTTCTACTTCTTCACAGTCTGGACACCAGAGATCAAGGTGTTGGTTGGGCTGGTTCCTTCTGAGGGCTCCATGGCTTCTAGCAGTTTGCTGGCGACTTTTAGGGTTCCTTGGCTTATCGATGCATCACCCTGACCTATGCCTTTGTCTCTATGTGGCATTCTCCGGATGTGCCCGTCAGTGTCCAAATTCCCTCTTTTTATAAGGAAGCCAGTCATATTGGACTAGGGCCCAGCCCAGTGACCTTGTCTTAACTAATTCTATCTACAATGACCTTATTTCCAAATAAGGTCACGTCTGAGGTACTGGAGTTTAGGACTCCAACATATCCTTCTGGGGGAACACAATTCAACCCATCACGGGCAGAATGCAGAGGGCACCTGGTCCCATTACCTCCCAGGACAATCCCATTAGGAACATTGGTGGCCAGGCTGAACAAGCCACACTTTGAGGAGGGTACTGGTGATGGAGGAGAGACCGCGCATCCATATTGTCACTCCTCCTGCGCTTGGGCAGGGTGATAAAGTGGGAGACACACAGATAAAGAAGTAGGTCTTGCAAAGGGGCCCAGGATGGGTCACACGTGGGCTGGTAGGCACGGGCAGAAGGGAGATAGCGCTCAGAGGCCGCTGCAGCCGCCAATAATACATTATAGGCCCGGAATCACGGGCCCAGTGTGGAGAGGCATGCTTTAACTCTGAATTTGGCATCATAACAAATGTTCCAGGAGGAAGGGCAGGCTTGGAAACTTTCGGCGCGCGCTTGCTTTCCGTGCGCCCTCTGCTGGTGACCAGAAGCACAACACCTTCCCCGTGGTTCTCAGGCGGGGAAAGTGAACCCAGCCATTGAAGGACCCGCCCAGGCCAGGCACTGGGCAGGTTCCTTCCACAGCCCTGACCCCGTTGGATGCCGCGATCACCCTCCTGCCAAGAGAAAACAGGAGAAGAGAGCTTATGCCTTAGCGCTGGCTGGAAGGCAGAGCCAGGGTCCAGGTGTGGGGCCTCTCAATGACTCTCCTCTGAGAGTCATGGCCCCTTACAGTCTTACACGCACGCACACTCTCTCCAGAGGGCCTGGGTTTGTTTTGTTTCTTTTTGTCTCGACATTTTGCCATAAAAATTTCCAAACACAGAAAAAGAGACAGAATTGTACAGTATAGATGCATACGCTACCACCTAGATTTTCCAATTAATATTTTGCTGTATTTGCTTCCTTACCTCTCTCTCCACAGCCCAGCTTCGAAAATTCCACTTATATGCTGCTTACAAAAGACACATTAAGGGGCACCTGGGTGGCTCAGTTGGTTGAGCGTCTGACTCTTGGTTTCAACTCGGATCATGATCTCAGGGTTGTGAGATCGAGCCGCATGAGTGGGGAGTCTGCTTGAGGATTCCCTCTCTCCTTCTCCCTCTGCCCCTCCCCCTGCTCTGTCTCTAAAATAAATAAATAAATCTTTAAAGAAAAAAGACCCATTAAAACAAAATAGCCTAGAAGAGTTAAAAATAATAGGATTCCAAGGTTATTTGAACTTACCCAAATAAGTGAAAAGTGATGTTCACACAAACACCTGTCCACCAATGTTTATACAGCTTGCTTCATACTTGCAAAAACTCGCACGCAGCCAAGATGTCCACATAATGGAATCTGGACAATGGAATGTTATCAGTGATAAACAGAAATGAACTATCAGCCTCAAAAAGACACGAGGGAACCTTAAACGCATATTACTAGAAGAAAGAAGCCAACCGAAAAAGGCTGCATAATGAGTGATTCTAGCTCTATGACCTCCGGGAAAAGACAAAACTATGGAGACAATAAAACGATCAGTGGTTGCCAGGGCGTTGGGGGGAGGGAGGAATGAACAAGGGGAACACGGAGGATTTTTAGGGCAGTGAAACTACTCGGTATCATATTCTAATGCTGGATACAGGTCATCATATATTTGTCCAAACCCATACAATGTACAACGAGGGCCTAAATGAGCAATATATGTTTGTCACAGTAGACAGTGCACTGTGTTCCAGTTAGTGCTTTTGCCTCACCTCCTGCGTCATTAAGGAGGCTGCACGCATGCTTACCTGTGCCAAGCACTATGCTAAGTGCATTCCTTCCACACATCTCAGCTCTTTGCAAGAATCCTCACAAACCAGGATTATTGTCCCCATTTTCCACAGATGAAGTCACTGAGGTGGAGGATTTCTATTTCCAAGGGAATGATCGATATGGCAGAATGAATATCCTAAAATGTTTGTCCACTACCACTCAACCAGATCCCAGATTAATTACAACAAGCAATGTATATGCATTGCTGAGCTCACAAGGGAGTAAATGAAACCATGGAAGTTACACACACACATAAAGAGAACAGTGAACCGAAACTAAAACAGTGAACATTAATGAGAAAGAGGCTGGGGTGGTCCTGGTGGCTAAGGTTGATAATAGGAATCCAGAATTTGGGGGATTAATAATTAGGAGAAAAATAAGAGGCCCTTATAAAGGGAGGGTATCAAAAATTGAGACCTCTGTATTTATCTGGGACCTTGGAAGGTGACTATACCCTTAGTGAAAGGGAGGGATGGGCAGAGACTGCTGGAAAGCGATGAGTCTTCCTTCACTGTGGCTGTGGGATAGTGATGATGATGATGATGGTGATGGTGGTGGTGATGGTGATTTTGGTGGTGATGATGGTGATGATGGTGATGTGGTGATGATGGTGGTGATGGTGGTGTTGGTGGTGATGATGGTGATTTTGGTGGTGATGATGATGGTGATGATGGTGATGATGGTGATGATGATGGTGATGATGATGATGGTGATGGTGGTGGTGATGGTGATTTTGGTGGTGATGATGATGATGGTGATGATGATGGTGGTGATGGTGGTGGTGATGGTGATTTTGGTGGTGATGATGGTGGTGATGATGATGGTGATGATGGTGATGGTGGTGTTGGTGGTGGTGATGGTGATTTTGGTGGTGATGATGGTGATGATGGTGATGTGGTGATGATGAGGTGATGATGGTGATGGTGATGGTGGTGGTGGTGGTGATTTTGGTGGTGATGATGATGGTGATGGTGATGATGGTGATGATGATGATGGTGATGATGGTGGTGGTGATGGTGATGATGGTGATGATGGTGATGGTGGTGGTGGTGGTGATGGTGGTGATGGTGATGATGGTGATGGTGGTGATGATGATGGTGATGATGATGATGGTGATGGTGGTGGTGATGGTGATTTTGATGGTGATGATGATGGTGGTGATGATGATGGTGATGATGGTGATGGTGGTGTTGGTGGTGATGATGGTGATTTTGGTGGTGATGATGGTGATGATGGTGATGTGGTGATGATGAGGTGATGATGGTGATGGTGATGGTGGTGGTGGTGGTGATTTTGGTGGTGATGATGATGGTGATGGTGATGATGGTGATGATGATGATGGTGGTGGTGGTGGTGGTGGTGGTGGTGATGGTGGTGATGGTGATGATGGTGATGGTGGTGATGATGATGGTGATGATGATGATGGTGATGGTGGTGGTGATGGTGATTTCGGTGGTGATGATGATGGTGATGATGGTGATGGTGGTGATGATGATGGTGATGATGATGATGGTGATGGTGGTGGTGATGGTGATTTTGGTGGTGATGATGATGGTGGTGATGATGGTGATGATGGTGATGGTGGTGTTGGTGGTGATGATGGTGATTTTGGTGGTGATGATGGTGATGATGGTGATGTGGTGATGATGATGGTGATGGTGATGGTGATGATGGTGATGGTGATGATGGTGATGGTCATGATGGTGATGTGGTGATGATGATGGTGATGATGGTGATGGTGATGGTGGTGATGATGATGATGATGATGGTGGTGATGCTGATGATGG